ATGATGAGAAGGTGGTACTATTTTTCCACCTGATTTTGATTTTGTAAACCTCAAACTATTCAAACACTCAGAGTTCTTTTTAAGGGTTAAAGGCTCTACCAGATTTGCACCACAGCAGTGAGTACTTTCAACCTTTCTGCCACCTGGCCATAACTTAGCTAATTAACTTGAGCTCTGTCCCAAGAACTGTCTCAGTATGAATGAGTAATATCCAAAAAGCTCGTCCAGTAATGGTTGAGCGGTTACTTGCTTCTTACGCACATTTTATGGTTCATAAACTTTTAGTGTACCTGGCTTGACTCACCCTTGCTGAGGAAATCAGAAAATGACCTTCCTTATCATCAAAGTCTACAAACCGTGGCTACAGACAGGGAACTGGACTTGGAGCTCGTTTGGTCCCTCTTCTTACTATAGAAATTCTCTCGAAATACCCAGTTGAAGCAGCAAAAAGCAAAAACTAAACCCTGGTGGTGAAACACTTTTAAGCCCCTTCCCACTGCTGTGTGTTCTCCACACCACTGGGCTTCTAGACAAGCGTCCAAGTTGAGATCCCTCAGCAACTGTCCAAACGATCTCAAAACCAGATTGTTAGTGGGGGAATCGTTACCCTACCGGGTCCTAAAACTAAATTGTTAAGACCCAGTGATATCACCTGCTGTTTTAAATTAACCTGGATCCTGCTTACTGTAATCTAAGAACACGACTTCAAAAAATTAGTCATCTCAACTGCCCACTTGTTAAGGAAAGACAATTATTTTCCGTGATAAAGCAATTGTTTACACTGCTTGAAATTGGTTAGCTATCCAGAATAGCCTGATGCGGTTCATTCTTTAGTTGACGGAGACGGAGCAGAGCAGAATGTGGTGTTTCTCCAAATTCAGTCAGTTACCTACCATTGCCACAATTTTTGCCATTATACAATTTTGCTAGCAGTACTATTTACTCAATATTTTCCTTCAAATTAACCTGCTTTTACAAAACAACTGAAATACGTGCAGGTAAAAATGGAACATTTAAGCACGACACATCTATTAGAATGGTTTTTAAACAATCTTACAATATAAAATGCTGGCAAAAATGTGGAGCAACTGGAACTCTCATACACAGCTGGTGAGAATGCCAACTGCTACAGCCACTTAGGGAAACCTACACTCACCCAACAACTCAACAATCTCACTTCTAGCTATGTATACTAGAGAAATGAAAACTTAACGTTCACACAAAAACATGTAGGCAAATGTTTACAGTGGCTTTAGAAATAATCATCCAAAACTGGGAAACAATCCAAATGTCCTTCAGCTGCTGAATGAATAAACCATGGTCCACCCATACAGTGAAATACCACTCAGCCAAACTACAGATACACACAACAACGTGGATGAATCTAAACACATTGTGCTAAGCGAAAGGAAAGCCAGGCTCTAAAGGCTACGTACTGTAT